AAGACATCTTGACGACGAACAGGACAACTACTTGGTTTTCCGATCAGCCATACATGTGTAGAGTTTTCGCCATGATAAAAAATATCAATGAATGGAAAGCTCCAGGGAAATGTCCCAGCAGATGGACACCAGGTGAAGAACACTTTATCATAATCGCGTGCATTGTACATTTGCTTGATCATAATCGAATGTGATGATGACAATTCAGATCTGATTATCGATTGAAATCGAGAACGATCCGTAATGGCAACGCTCAAATCAACATCATCATCCCATGGAATTATATCATGATGAGCATAGCTGCCTGCAATGAATGAAACAAAATCATCAGGATCAATCGTGGAAGAAACAAATCACTATTCTGAATAGGTATGTGACAGTTATCGTTCAACAGCTCGCGATAGTTGAATCGAAGAGCTGGTCACCAGTTCCTTTCATATGAGCTGGGATGAGTTCATAAATTCTTTTCATATGAGTTATCCTATATCTCTTGAGGACCTATGTAGGGATCGTCTCTCTACCTCTTTAAGGCTTACCTAGGGATTTGTCTCTTTTTCAATAGAGATAAAACAAACTATTGCTCGAGTTATTTGCAAGAGAACCACTGCTAACCCTGAATTAGCCCAAACAATACCATGTTTTGTCTGCACTGGAGTAAAGAAAAACCCTACTGAAATCTAAACATGTACCAATCTCAATGTCAAGTTCGAGTTTAATCGATCTCAAGCTTCCAAAGTTGCACTCTTTCATAAGTAGATATTAATCAATGTAAAGCAATTTTGGAACTATTTGTGTGATAATCACTTGAACTATGCGCTTTGTCAAAGTAAAAACGTAAAACAAACCTATCAATCATCGGTGATTTTTCAATATTTTCTCATGTTAGTGTTTATAGAAATAACGGTTTTTATTAAAATAATAGTACTCTAAGCTACTTTATTAGAGGTTTGATGTTAAGCGTCATTCACTTTCTACTCTCCTGAAAAAAAATTCACAAATTTGCGGAGAAATTTGAAGTTAGATTTATTTTGGCCACACTCTTCGGAATTTCTAGGACTTTACGCCTTAAGAGAACGTTTCTAAATGTGATTATCTATCTACAATTCTGTATACTTTCGATTCGATTTGAATTATTTGCCATATTCACCAGACATCGAAATTCATCTCTTCTAGCTCAAAGATGTGAATATCTTCATCATACATTAGTCTTTTATGACCAGACATCATCTATTAAGTTTGTTTTTATCAAAACCGAAGATATTTCAAACATCGCTTTTTTCGTACTCGAATACATATTTAGCGAATACTTAGCTTCAATTTTTTATCGATAGAAAATTGACTCGTTTTTGTTCATCCTTAAAGTCGATCGAAAAACTTAGAACTCGATCTGTCGCACTAGAACTCGATTGAAACTTGATCTCTAAAGCTTGAGCTGGACTCGAGCCGTTCAGATTTAAGCTAGATTGAACTTGAACTTCCATGTTCGAGTTCGAGCTCCAATTCCAATTTCGAGTCCACCTCGGTCTTATCAAAGTCAAACGATTTGAGATTGGTGCATATCTACTAAACCTGATTGGCTAGAAGCTTTTCTATCGGCCAATCAGATTTGACAGAATTTTTCTTTACTATTGTATGGATGAAACATGGCGTTGTTCAGATCACTTGAAAGAAGACCTTAGCTTACCCGTAATTGGCTCTAACAACCTCATGTTTTATGTGTACAATAGTGGAGAACAGTCCTGAACAAATCTGATTGATTGATAGAAAAAGCTTCTGGCCAATCAATTTTCAGCAGAGTTTTTCTCTACTTCATTACGGACAAAACATGGTATTGCTCGGGCTAATTCAGGGTTAGCAGAGGTTCTCTTTCAAATAACCCGAATAATATCATGTGTTATCCGTACTGGAATAGAGACAAATTCGAAAATGTCTGCCCAATCGCTTAAACTTAATTTTAAGTAAAGCTAAGTATTTAGTAGAAACACTTAACTTAATTTTTTGTTAGGTTAGGTGATCTACTCGTAGTAAGACCCATTCTTGGTTAGCCCTGGAGAAGTTATAGAGAATATCCTTGGCTAGTCCTAGAAAAATTATAGAGACCAGCTCTGTACACCTCTAGAAACGTTATAGGGACTACTCCTAAAATAGCTCTGGAAAAGTTATCAGAATCATTCCTAGAGAGCCCTAGAAAAGTTATAGGATAACATGTAGAAAAGACTTCGTAACTCGGCTCCTGGAAGCTGAGTTAGTGAGCAGCTGCAGTTCAGGGAGCTAAACTGAAGCTGTCACATATCTGATTCTGAAAAGACTTTTTTAAACCTCAAAATACGAACCAAGTAATGTACCGGCCATCATCATGTATGAAATATTGTATTTATCAAAGACGTGTTTGATAAGAATTGACAAAAGATGAATAGAGAGAGCATGCTCGCATGGAGTAAGAGCGCGAGGTATCGATGGAATCGATTGCCAGTAATTGTACGAATAGGGAATCGTTTCATTACGAGAAGTTAGATGTTGAGAGATGCGAAATGAACGTTCAAATAATACTTTATGAGCGACATCCCAACAAAATTGATCATACTGAGATAGATTCGACGGTGGAGTAAGGCTAACTTCATAAGAAATGGAAGCATATCGTGAAATGATGACAAAAATTAGCAAAACAATGAGAAAAAGAAGACAGATACATGTAATACTCTCGGATCGTTTTACGAGTCGACCGAAGCGTGGCATTATTATGATGTTTCAATGTTTAATGATACTTTTTAATAATGAAAACAAAACTAGAACAGCTGTTACTTCATAGAGTGTTATTGAGAGTCATACATTCACCTTGAAAACTAATAATATATTTGATATGAGGACACTTGATAGTATATCTATTATTAGTTAACATTATCAATGTGCAGTATTTGACATCAATCAATTTCGTTACTGATTTTTTTGCTCTTAGAGCACGGAAAGTTTCAGCAAACAATATCAGTTCTTCTTAGTTAACAAGGATCGTGTCACAATTTATCGTAATTATTTTTTACTTTGCACTGTTTATCAAAAGGAACAATCTTAATTTTGTCTTGTAATGTAAGTGATATCGTGAATGGGTCATTCGTACAGATCATCTTGTTTAAATGATAAAACTATGCAATTATAAAAGTGAATATTTTCAATGGCTTCATCTAAAGTGCATTATTCTATTCAGTATCTATGAGGAATATTGATTCTGATGTCAGCTGTCAAGTGTGTCATTCATTGTGCAAATGTTTCGATGAGGGAACAATGTAGAGAAGATGAGTTTCCGTCGTTCAACAAATCGTGAACCAAAAACATCTAATCGATGATTTAAGCGGGTCAATGAGGGTGGATGAATAGAAGACTTTCATTCATCGTCATTCTCACCCTCTATTGACATAGAAACTGCTGATACAGTCGAGTAAGTTTGCAGTTGATTACGAACCAATAGTCTCATTATTGGCGTCAAATCAATCGTCATTGCCTGTCATATAATCATGCTCTAATTACTTCAACTACACAAATCCAATAGAAATCTTTGATAGTAGTTGTAGTGTTTCAGATGATTCAAAGACTTGTAAGAGGTGTTGTCTGCTAATGGTAATGAGTCCGTCAACAACAAAGATATGTCCAGAATGTCAATCTCATGATTATACTTCTTATTTCTTTCGAGCCGTAGTCTCATATAAGATATACAATCTGACACGATCAAAAACCCAATACTTCGAGATTGAATGTTCACATATAAAAGATTGTAATACTTTTGAGAGTATTCGATATATACAAAAGTTTTACTTAATGAAATTCGATCTCGATCAATTCTTGGAAGTAATAACATCAACTGAATCGTCGGAACTGATAGCAGTCGTATCCACTGGTAATGCTCTCTTTCCAGTAATGCACTTTATTATGTTTACTTTCATGTTGTTGCCTAATGAATTCCATAATTAACATTTTCCAAATTAACCATTTCTACCAGCATCATTTTATTGAATCCATGTTTATCTCTGATCTTGAAAATAAAACTAAAAATGTCGATTAGCCATCTGTATTAGTTTATATTCTATACTCGAACGACTAAGAAGATTTCCGTATATAACCCAAAGCGTTCCCAATCAATCCATGTAAAAATATTCAAAATATTCCATAGTTTCGATGAGTTATTAAAGAAAGGCTGAGAGCTATGTCAGCTCGACTCAGATTACCCCATGTTAAGTAATAAGAATCGACAAGCTATGTCACCTAGATAAATTCGGATAATTTCAGCAGAAATAGCCGTCATCAGACTTTCTCAACTTTCTATTCAATGAACAAACCTGGTATCAGAATAAAAGAAAAAAGCTTTTACCGCAATTCCTCTGAGATTAAAATATGAAATACGAAGGGACCGTCGCATCTGAAGAATAGCGATTTCAAAGGCAGTCATTGCCTATGAAAAAAGCGAAAAGAAAACATGAATGTGTGTTCTCACATTTATGAAATAGCTTGGATGTTTAGTTTCCTCGATGGAATGTTGAACACTTCACATTGATAATACTTCACAAAGAACCAAGAGGGTGTGAGTGTGGGTGTCAGTCTTTTGTTCACCTGCACCTACATGCACATTCACATCCACGTGATATGCGTTCACGAGGTGGTACTTTAAGAATGAGAATAATTGAAAAAGTTGATCTATCTAACCTTATACATTGATTAATG